ACCATTATATTGTGTTGGGTCTTCAATTTGAGGTAAAGGGGGACTCTACCCTATCTCTTGGTGTCTTGAATTCATCTATATTGATATATAATGCAATGTGGTTAAGGTAGAATGTAGGAAGATGTATATCTAATGAGAATGGCTTGATTGTAATTGTATTGTGATAGAAATTCCGTGTGAAAGGTAGTGTGATTGATGTTTAAGTATAATATGGTAGTTATTGGGTGATGTGTATGTGATGGAATGGTTTGATTGAGATTGGGTTGTAATAGGAACCTTGTGTGGAATGTAAATATGATAGCTGTTATGTATGATGCATGATAAGCTGACTTGATTGTGGTAAAATTAGGGTAGAAGTTGGGTGGTTGGATCTAATGTGGTTGAACATGGGTTGACATGCCTCGATTGAGAATGTGAGTGAATGCATGTGATGTAGTAAATTGATTGTGATGAGGATTTGATGTTTAAGTGTGATGTGATTGAATGTAGGCATACGTACCATATGTGAAATTGAATATAGTGATGTGATTGAGTATGTGGTTGAAATGCTTAGACAGGCCATTGATTGATGCTGAATAATGTGAATGATTGGAAATGTGTGTGAATGACATGTTTAGTGTGATTGTGATGATGTTTGGAATGATGAAAAACTATGAATGGTTCAGCAATACACTTAGGGTGTAGAAGATGGGGGCGGTAGAAATACCTTGGAAAAAAAAAGGTGGTGGTGACACTAACAGTGAGTGTGCGTCTACTACAAACCACATACTTTTCTCTTGACTCAGCCTCTAACTACCACCTTTGTTTGGGGGCTAAATACTACACACGTTATATCCATAAAGCGAGAGCTGTCCGGCGATCATCCATGGTGTGAAACTAAGTAAGTCCCTGAGGTTGAGAGCATCAAGAAACTGTGATCACAGTGCCACAATGAGTGTGACTAACGTGCAGTGAGCGTACGTGTGTGTATGAATTGCTTGATGGTGCAGTGAGCGCACCTTTGTACAAATGAGAATGAAACTATTGTTTTGTGTTTATTGATAAGTGATTTGGAATAGGTTAGAAATGTATGGAAGCATGCACAGAGTCTCTATGCTTGTGTATTTGATAGTGTAGAGTACTCACTCTTACATTTATTTTTCAGGTGACTAAGACGATCAACATCGAGCTTAGTGAAGGGATGGATGATACTGTTATAAGACTTAGAATATTTATTTTGAAATTATGATTATTTGAATTGGTCCTGTAGCAGTCATTTGATATAAACTTGTAATTTATTCTTATTTTGAAATACCTTATCGAACTATGTAGTGGGAATCTTTTTAAATGAAAATTTTATTATTCTCATTTTTGTGAAATTTATTTATTTTGAAATTAAAATTAAGGTGTTACATAACATCCTTAATTTCTTATTCCATATAAATAATAATTTATAATGAAGAAGGGAAATGAAGTGAATTTCTTTATATTTATAGCTTAAAGAATTAAAGAAAAAGTGGAACTTACATTTCTTTTATTCAGTTTATAAAAACTTAAAGGAATTCAAAATATTACAAGAGATAGTTTTCAAAATTTTAAATTTATAAATAGAGTAAAAACTAAAATTTACAGCCTAACATTTTTCTTAATTCGTATTACATGCATATAAGTTAAAAATGATCAACACTATCCTTCAACAGAGTAAAAATTATCTAAAATTGGATGAAAACTACAAATTAAAAATAGCTAACTTATCAAATTACAAATACACTTCAAAGTATTGTTTCCACAAAACTTATCAAAATTACAAATAAATTCAGAATAAATAATATGTAAATGGTTACATATCCTTGTCAACTTTGAATGAAAACTGAATTAGAATTGTTACAATTTTCAAAATTTATCTAAGTCCTAGCAGAGCAGTCTTCCCTATAATTCCATCAAGGATATGATCCTAAAATGGATCAACCTTCATTTATTCTTCAATTTCATTTCCTGGAAAATAATTCATAAGGGAGAATATCCTTTGCCCCACTAAATCCTTTATCTTATAAATGAATCAAGTAATACATAGAATATTATTTAATACAGAATACATGTCAAAATAGTTCTAGCTCATATACTATATTAATAAACCTACAGCAAATCAAGCATTATAATAATCACCTCAATACACAATATTTCACACATAACCAAACTCAACCTACATCAGATAAAGCATCATAACAATCACCTCAATACATAACATTTCACACATAACCAAACTCAATCATTCCATCCTTAACTCTATACCACTTTATTCATAGATCAACATGTCATAATAAGTGAGTTATAACCATATTACTCAATGAATTACGATACATGCATTATAATTACACCCGTCGATGTAATACAATACTTGTATTGTAATCATATTAATCAATCCATTATGACTCACTTATTATAATCACACATCTCACACAGATACAACATATACAATAAATGACCTCTTAGCAAAAGTATAGTCAGGAGTTTAGTTAGGAAATGAGTGTGAGACCATGTGATGCATTATCAATCAATAGATTGTGTATACATAAGCGAATGTCATTTACCACCCTATGTTTCCCCTAAATTTTCCAAATCGTCTCCATATTTTATATTTCCAGTGTATCTCTGTAACTATCTATACATATTTTAGTCAGTTTTTTATGACACATATTTCCTCAGCACTTCTCAAATACTCATATCTATTTATTTTTATCGTTTTTCTCATGATAGCACAATTTTCACTCTTTTTCTTTCTCTTCACAATAAAAATTTACCACACTATGTCATTCATGTATAGTTAAATCATCAATTAATTTTACATCATACAAATCAATACAATGTGCCGAAGATCGAACACCTTTAGACTCAACCCAATTGTACAGCTTAGAAATACATTGTCGGAGATCACACTCTCTCGGTCTTTATATATATATATATATATATATATATATATATATATATATATATATTGAATAACACCTTTATAAAAATCTTCTTAAAAATTCATTCTTAAAACATATTATAGGTTTCCCATACTCAAAAATTTATTTATACACTGTAATTGTTAAAAAAACATTAGGGATCTATCATTCTAAGCAAGAGAATCTGAATTTTAATTCAAAAACTTATAAATAGGAGTTAAGGTTTGGGATCAACTTCCCTTATCTGAATATGGGTCTTTCAAGCCGAGTTTTCCTATAGATTTGAGGGAGAGGCACAACGTTCTGAAAGAAGATATTGCCTTAAAGGTTAAGGTTCCTTGGATCAGAATGGAATAGAGGTTTGAGTTCGAATCTGGAAGAGATTTGGGGTTCAGAAGAGGTTTCTCTGAGAAGAGAAGATAAGAGAACATAGAGAATGAGAGAGAAAATTGTTTTGAAGAGAAATAATAAAAGTTTTAACGTTGAAGTACTTTAAATATCCCTCCATTTGCGACATTCTCGCTCCAACGAAAGTATTAGCTGGATTAATCTTATCTACTTTTCACTATAGCGAGACTCCCTCATTTTAGCAAGAAGGCTCTCGAGAGCCTAAATTCTGGATGGTCTTCCTTGCTACAGCGAGACATATCTTACTACAGCGAGAAATCCTTTCAGCAGCACTACCCTTTCAGCAACATTAGTTTTGGAACACCCATCTTGGCTTAACTATCGTCTCTCACACTCTCAACCACTGTTTCCATCCTCTCCCGCGATCACATCGTTGTTTGCAACGCAACAACATCAGGATTCTGTGTTTCACCAACTTCATCGTTGTCTTTAACCCACTCTCTCACTTCGTTGAGATCCTATGTCTTGTCAATTTCCTTGAATGTAGCGTTTTTGTGCCCTTGGAGAATGGAGAGCTTCACTATGTCGCATCATGATTGCTTCAACCATTTACTCCCAATTCTACCATTCCCTGTACCTTTTATTCTCTCATGAAAGTTTTATAATAGAATGTAGTGCAGTGCATTTTCATATATTAAGAGTGAGGCATATATATTGTTATAATAGTAAAGGGAGAGTTTCATATTTACATCTCTTAATTAAGCAAGGAGTGTGTAGAGGCAAGTTGATAAATGTGTTTCACACTTCTAAAAACGTTAGTATCTGATCATAAAAATAAAAGGATGACGTTAGTATCATTGAATTCCTCATTAATATGAAATAATAATGCTTCCCTTACGTTTTTCTACTTGTTTATAAAACTTAACTGAACCCTGGTCTAATAAAAAAAAACTTGCTTATCATATAGGTCTCATTAAATAGTAAATAAAACTCATTAATTAGGAAATTTACGCCATTCAGTAGGTCTCATATGGAACTTTTACTCAATATTATAGTTTATATTAGATACGTTGCTATCATCCCTCATATGTAGATATATGCACACACACTCCCACTCTTTCATGCAGGCATGACAACTTGTCTGGAATAATACACAAGTTTTAACCTTCCAGTATTTTCAAATGGAATATCCCTTTCTTGGTTTATGACATTTCTACTTCCCTTCAAAATAAGACCCTTTATAGAGCATAACCTCCATTGACCATTAGAACTTCCTGAGAATTCATCCTTCCAATTTTTAGGAATAAGGCGGTGGTTCTTGCATATTCTTCAAAGCATTATTATTACCAACTTTACCTTCCAATTTTTTATGTCGTAGTAATATTCAAAGCTGAATATTTCCAAGAAAATACTATAGTAAAATTGCAATTATTGTCAATACTTCCTTTTTGTTTATGGATATAAGAATTTCATTACATTTGATTAGTCACCCTACATAATTAAGAGTTTACAAATAAAATGTGTTTAACTCAATTTATTTTAAAAAACTTATACTTGTTTATTTAAAAACATAATAATCTTCCGAATATTAATCACAAGGACAACAGTTACGTAACGCTCATTAGTTACATAATAATTAGTTAAGCAAGTTGGTTAAAGAAATAAAACATATTACCTATAAATACGAGGGGAGATTGAGTAAAGGCTCATCTTGTGATTTGAGAAGAATCAGGGCCTTGGGGCAGGTACATTCATTTGAAATTATGCAGTGTTTCTATCTTGTAATTTTTTTCTCTAGTTCTTTCTAATAAAACACCAAGTTTCTATCGACAACTTCAACGGCTCTTGACATTGGATGCCCAAAAAAACAAACGAATCTAACATTGGAACTTCAATTAAACAAGACAGAAAAAAATATAATACGATATGACTACAAAATGGCCACTATATTTCAAAACTTCACATAATACATTGAAACAATAAATATATATCCGATACCAAAATAACACACCAAAATGCCATCACCAGGACAAAGTCCCGAACAAGTAGCAATTCTTGGAAGGCGCAACCTGAAATTGGAAGATATTGATTAGGAAATCACGCAAGTGTTTTAATTGGATAATCCCGTTTGAACAAAGTTGCATCCACGATCTCCTATAAGTCTGCAAAGAAGTTGTTCGTGTTTGAACCTAGAGCATGCCCATTATTTGCATTCTTTCTCTTGTTTCCTACATGGTTATCAACACAAAATGAAGTAAAACATATATATGTCCTTCCAATAACCGTATCCTATCTTTAGTGATGGGTAATCAATGACATTTACATCTATCTACGCAAATCATATCCTACCTTTACTAGACTTAGAAGGATTATCATCTAGATCCATCTCATCATCGTCACTGTCAATCACTCCAACTTCGTTTCTTTGTGTGCTTCTCGAATCTTGTAGAATACTATCCAAGTCCCATAGCTGCACAAAAAGAAACACAAATGTATGTTCAAACTATTATTGCTAGTATATTCTGTACAAAATACAAAAGTATAGAGATACATATTTAGACCCACATGCAACCAATAGTTTTCATATTTTTAACAGTAGTTCGTCCTCCATTGTGAAAGGCAGTATTTTAAGCCAAACTGATGGAAACTCATCCAATCAAATATGTTAAAATATAAGTTATTTATTGTTCTTTTAAAGGTCTATGGTCAATCTGATGATTTGACAGCTGCAACTTCTATAATAACATAGCCGTCTTAATGTGTTCTGTCCAGCATTTATAAGCTGTAGACTATAACCTAGGCAATCCAAACGTACTAATACATTTAGTCAACAAATGGTATATACACATCATTTGACGCACAATATTCTTCATCCTACACCTAAACTCGTGTAGGTAATTGCATAGCATCATTTGTGCCCCTTTTCAGTTGCAAATGTTCATCCCAATCAAGACAACACTGTTAGACACATCAATTATTATTGCTAAATCATACCTATCGATATGCATTTTGGTGGAAATTATATTATTCTAATCAAAATCCTAATCACTCTGAGTCACCTTTATATTTAAAGCAATTGTTTCTGAGAACAAAGTTATGAAGCCCCAGAAAATGCCCATTTAGGTGGCTAGTATAAATATGCCTAAAAGCAGGGGAACCAATTCCTACAAATTTCTAGAGAATTAAGAGAAATACCTTTAACATTTGATCATGGGCAATACTTCCAAGGAACTTCCTATCATGAGATAATGCTACAAGACCAAAGAAACCACAAGTCAAGCTTAGAAGCCAGGAATAAAAAAAAATGATGACATACAAAATGCATGCAAGTGCAAAAACACATGATAATGAGGCTGAAAACAGTAAAAAAAAAAAAAAAAAAAAAACAAATGATGTCCCAAAATCACTTCACTGAGACAAAATTTGCATTGTTAATGAAGAAATCAAGGGTATAGATAGACAAAAGATTCCAAATATGGATTGAACCAGCACATTAAATGCTAAGAAAATAGGAAGAGACTATGTTACCAAGACGCTCAACAGGATATTCCGAGTGCTCTGCAATTGGCTGGATGACTCTGTTTGGTAATATCCCAATCAGGCTGAAGATAAAAAAAAATAAAAATTAATTTAAACAAAATGGAGAATAAACAAAAGATAGAAATATGATTCAAACAGCAAAACAATGCTCTAAAACTGCAAAAACTCACTTGATAATGCCATTCTCTGATCCAGTAATGATCCTATCTTCATCAAGCTAAGATAGCAAATAAAAAAAAATTATTACAAGACCTAAGGATGGTAAGAAAGCCTACTGAAGCCAAATAATCATGTATGTTAATGATTCACCTTCAACATAGCATCAACAGAGTTTGAAGAGAGATCAGTAAATCGATCACTGGAGTTGAAGCCAAATAATAAAACACCAGTCAAAGAGGTAGCATAATGAATACAAGAGAAAAACATTGAATTAATGTCTCATTCTCTCCTCCAAAAACAGAATCCTTTCCATCATGTAATCATGACATGTTCCACATCACGTACCTGCAATCCTTGAAGCATCCCCATGAATACAACAGAATGATTCCAGTTTGTGATCCACATACAACTTTCCTTCCATTCTGAACACCCAGCCAAAAGTTGAAAACACAAGTCATGTGACCATTTTAGAAGACAATACGTACGTCAAATGCAGTACATCTTTCAATTCAAAGGTAACAAAGAAAGACATTGACTAATAGTCTGTTTGGGCATCCTGTAAAATCATAAACAAGTGTTTTTTTGTTTTAACAAAAACAATATTTTTTTGAGGTATTTGATCGAAGTATAAAGTTGACAATAGACAGAAACTATACTGTTAATAGAAAGCAATATATTAGTTCCTCTCCTACGAAGCAAGAATAAAAGCAGGGAAAACATTCTATGAAATTTCTGTTAATATAATTTTTTCATAAAAATATGTCAAAAAATTCCAACAGATGCATTAAAATTTCACAATAAAGTCATAGGCATAGACCATGATACCTTCATTAAAACAACAGACAGCAGCTCATCTTCAGAAAATTCAGATTGAGCTTGGACCTGTCAATAAATCATTAAAAGGTAGTTCAAATCATCATGTAAGCAAATAAATAAATAAAACATTAAAGAGTGTTTATTTTCAAGATGAAACAGATAACAACTTACTTTATTTCTTCGAAGATTGCAAACAGACAGAGTCCCATCACCACTTTAAAACAAAAAGGAAATTAAAAAAGAAAAGAAAAGAAGTTAGACTGTATTGATATGTCAGAGAAAGTAGAATTTGAAAAACAAATTGATTATAATATTCATGAAGCATATTGCATTGGAATGCATGTTAACCAGGGGTAACATATACTATATAGGAAATTCAAAATAAAAACATTAGAAAGAACAAGCACAGGAAAACATCACTACTATAATCCAAAAATAGTTACACCAAATTAACATACTAGCTTAATAAATTACATAAAGCATCCCTCCCATTTTGAATCTTAGAAAAATTATTTTTTATAAACTAGGAAAAACAACTCTTTTAAAAAGTCAAAATGGTTTCAAGGTGCGTTTGGATATCTAATTATTAAAGCACTTATTCATTAAGTTTTTTTTTAAAATGATGAGTTATGTCTTGAATTTAATGATGAAATTTGTTAGGATAAGCTGAAAACAGCTTATCTTGATAAGCTATATTAAGAAGCTCATTGAAATAAGTCAAAAACAGCTTATGAGAGTCATAAGCTATTCCAAACAGACCCTCAATAGTTGTCAGCACCAAGGTGCTTACTCTAGGATAAGGGGAAGGAGAAGGGGGATGGGGGGAATCAAGATAAATAACTAATGTTATGCTTTAGTTGGTGATTTCTAAGAGCAAAATGATTTGAGTCATATGTTTGGGAATGGTAATACTAATTACTAAATTGTTCAAATAAGAAAATAAACATTAATTCTAAAAACCCTAACAGGCACCAGCATATGCTAAGGGATTCAGATAGCTTTAATAAAATTTGGGCTAGACCAGTTAGTCAATAGACAATCACTATAATTAGAAAAACATAAATTTCATTTCTACAAAAGTTACTATTTCTTAAATTTTCTATTTGGCTAAATCAATATGAGAATGACTTGAGAGAGAGAGGGGGGGGGGGGGGGGGGGGGCAGGACAATGCTATAAGAATTTCAAAGATAAAATGTATGATTATCTTATACTTATGGTTTCTTGATTAAATAGTTATAGTAGTCAATAGCAACTGCTATCAAGGTAGAGCGGAGCAGCTTGGGTCCACTATGGAGACTCAATAGTGTCATGGTTCAGAGGAGTGACTATCACACCACAAATAGTGGCCAAAAATAGCGAAAATCGCAGCCGCTATTCTATCCTCTCTGAAATTCTGAACTTGCCCTCTGTTTTTTAATGTTGGACAACTTTTAAGGAGGGCAATCTTGAGATTTCACCCATCCCCTTTATTTTTTTATCTTCTCCCTCCCTCTTTCGCAAATCCTAGCTTCTCATTTCATCTCTCAGGTCTCCCTCTCATTTCTCCTCTCATTTCATCTCTGTTCTCTACGTTTCCACTGCTTTTGATGGCCTTCATCTCTGACGAGACTTCTGACACAACAAGGACATTCTCCAGTCATATTTTCATCTCCAGTGAAGCCTCCAACGTGACCTAGATTGTTTTGAGTCATCTTCTTCATCTTTGGTTGTCTTTTTCAAGTTCAACGAAGCGTCTGACGTCACCTAAACACTTTTCTGTGACTGAACATTTTTTTTTCTGATTTTTTATTTCCTTCTCTGTTTTGATTCTCCTAACCTGTTCTGTTTCAAATTTCAAAGCTTCAAGTAGAAGCAATGGCTGCTCTTCCTTCTCTGATTAGAGTTTTCCATTTTTGTTTTGTTCCAAAATTGTGTATTAATTTTATATTTTGCAGCATGTATATGTATGTATTAAAACTTCAAAATAGCAGTCATCCTGCTACTGCTATCCTTGCTATAGCATTTTTTAGGTTGGCAGCTCTATGTCGCTATCCGGGATTGACTACTATGTTAAATACAACTATGCATTTGTTAATATAGATCAATATGGTATCTCTATCCACCAGAAAGTTCAGAAAGATATTTATTATCACAGCCAATTGAAAATTATAGTATATCTTTCCTATACATTGATATTCTGGTGCAGGTGAATGATGTAAGAGAATATGCTACCTTGTTGCCAACAGTTTCATTGCATCAGACGCAAAAGTCATGTCTGAAATGTAATCTTCATGGGCATTAAATGAATTGCAACAAGAACGTTCTCTGGTATCCCATACCTACATGAAGAAAAAGCTAAATGAAAAGTACTGAAGAAACACTGATCGCCTGACCTTCAAATAACACAAAAAGATCAATGTAGCAACCATCTTCAGAACCGTAATGGGTGGCTTTAGGTAGAAGGAATAGTTGCTAAAAAAGGGTGAAACAGTAAAAAAAAAGTTGTGTGAAAAATAGAATAAGTGACACAAGATTCATATTAATGTCTAGAAGAAAGGCTATTAGTTGCACCTTACAGCTAAGTGTTAAAAACATTAGCAGCTATACAAGAGACCACCTATATGTGCACTCTTACTATATGCTTATTGCAATAAAAGTAGAATAGTTGGGGTGCATTGGAAGCATTGCGGTATAGATACTTGCATTGCATGACAATGAGGAAGTGCTGGCTGGACACATTATGTTCTGTGCTTGCTATGAGCTTAGTGCTTTCAAATTAGTTGATAAGGACTAATTAAGCTTCATCAATTTATAAGCAAGGCAAAGATTGGGGAAGTTGAAAACTAGTGGGTAATTTATTGTTTACAACTATTACAAAAATGAATGAATATCTAAGACAAATAGTCAAATATTATTGAAGGACTCCACAGCACAATCTACAATACAGAGCAAAAACAAATGCTAGGAAAGTGAAATGAAAACAAGTTACCTTTATACAACCTTCATCATCTCCTGAGGCAACTGTTGACTCAGTCAAGTTTATCAATCTATTGACTGCAGCCCTGCATCACAATAAAAATATCATACAATTTCTTAAGTAATGCACATACTTGTTTTGTAGCCCAATGACAACAAATGCTTAATTGCAGCAAATCTATCTACTCACTCATGGGCATTATCAAGACGGGCAATGGTAGACCCAGTTTCTACATCTGTAGCCAGTATCGAGCAATCCGGAGAACCAGTTAAGAGCGCTACAACACAAACATAATAACAAATATGCATTTCAAATTTAAAATAAAATCTAATCGAAATCATTAATCATTAGTAAAATAAAAAAAATAAAAAAAAGGATGAAAACTATTCAGTGCATTACCACGTCCACCATTAATGAATCGTGCAGCCCTACAAGATTCAGTGTGAGCATGAACATCCAACAGCCTGAAACAATAAAAAGGAAGATAATAGAAACATAGGATTACATATTAGCAGCAAACTATGCATATAGTGATGAAAATCCTAAATTTGCAGACAACATAAAGTCAACACTCATGTAGGTTTTACATATACAAACAAAAGATTCAGAATTTATACCTCACCGGGGTGCTATCTGGGCTATAACGGTATCTGCAGGACACATAATTTAATATAATTATTACCATAATTTCAATAATAATAATAACAAAATGTCGGTTAACTATAGATATTGCAGCATCAATCCAAATTAACATACAGGTGAAGGTCACCACTAATGAGTCCTGCAGCAACGAGATTATCTGATGGATGAAAATCAATGTCGAATGCGAGTTTCCCCAAATTTATTTCCATTCCTGTTTATCAGTACACAGAACAGAGCACATGATTAGACCAAAATCATGCAGCTGCCATGGGCAAGTTCGGAGATTTGAGAAATTGAAGAAAAGAACTAAAGATGAAAGAGAACGAGTACCTCTAAACAAATCAGTTTCCTCTTTAGAATTAAAAGTAATAGCACCGATCAACATATGAAGGGAACAAGAAGTATTAAGAAAATAATAACTAGAGTTTGTTGGGATAACTGTTTATTTAAGCACTTTTCAATAAGCTCTTTTTAAAAACAATGATATTTGTGTCTTTAATTTAATGATGAAACTTATTGGGATAAGCTGAAAACTGCTTATTTTAATAAGCCACACTAAGAAGCTTAATTTTTCATAAGTTATGTATAATCTCTTCTAAACAGCCCTTAAACGATCAAAATAATAAACCCTAAACCCTCTAAAACACTTACATTCAAAACACACTTAATGATTAGAGTTAAAACAACAACGATTGAATCGTTAACAAGGAAGAGGGGAATCCAACGAAAGAGATGAGAGTAACAGAACATCAAATTACACTAACAACATATAATAACGGAATACGATGTAAAAGTTGCAGCCTTTGGGTTCAGAGTATCCACTTGCCTGAGGGAATCGAAATTCACCGGCGCCGGAGCTTACGGTGACAGGCAGCGGCGGCGGCACCACTCGCGCCAAGACTAACAAGTTAAATGAACCAACGACTTCAAAGAAAAATTTCCAACGTTTTGTGATAGCCCTAATGTTTAACATTAAATATTAATTTCTATCACTGTAATATTATAAATTAATATATTTTTCCACCCATCATGTTTTTTTTTTTTTTTTCCTGAAGAGATTTTGTTAAAAATATATTTATTTATTTATGTATTTATTTATCTATATAATATTTATTTAATTCTTGTACGCCTGCAGTACATTGTTATAAAATAAACAATATTAAAAATATAATATTACATAAATTATAAATAAAAACATGATAATATCTAGAAATCTATAATGATATTAAGTTATATTACTATCATAAATAATAAAAATGTAAAAACTAAGTAAAAATTAAACATGTTATATTATAATCCTAATTTAATATTATAAAAGATCAATGCAAGTAATGGACGTATAATAACCTTAGAAAAGATTAAGAAAAATATTACGAAATAATAACACTATTATAATCTTAACTCATTCTAAAATTTGAAAAATAAAAATTCATAACATTTTATACACGTAATAATATAATAATCAGAAATAAAAAATAATGAGATCAAATATTATTATGATAATATATTTAAAATAATTATATAAATGATGATAAATATTTAAGATATCAGAAAATACGCACAAGTATTTAATATAAATAGTATCTTTTTCCAAATCATAAGTAATTTAGTATACTATGAAAGAAAACACTAATAAATAATATTATAAAGTAAACAATTAATAGTAAAATCATATTTAAAATAAAAATGTTAATAGTAAATTCACATAATATGAATAATAAATACTAATAAAAAATTTAAAAAGTAAAAATTAATAGTCCGGCAATATATTATGATCCTAAGAACAAAAAAAAATAACAATATAATAATATAAAACCTGAAATTACCTTGAAATAATATTATAAAAAGGAAATTGAATACAATAAAAATCACAAAAAATAGTAAACTAATAGTATGATAGCAAAAATAAAGAAAATAACAATAATAAGCATAAAAATAATTTACAATACAATCAAATAGAAATTAATGGCAAAATATTTTAATAACCAAAATTCTAGAATGAAAATAATAATATTATTACTAAAAAATAAAAAATGATAATATGATAAAAATAAAAATAGAAGAAAATTAGAAAATGAATTTATTTTCTGTATTGTAACAATAACTTTTGCATACAAATTAAAAAATAAAGCTGCTTCAAATACAAAAAAATACAAAAAAAAAATGCAAGTTGGCAAAACTTTTTATAATAAAAAAATTAGTCCTTAGTTGAGTAAACAATTTGTTTCAAAATGATCGAGAGTGAAAATAAATGAAAAAACACAATAATTTATATTGGGTCACCCAATGATGGAATGATTACATCTAGTCCTTGACCTTCAGTTAAGAATTTCACTATTTGATTTTGAATATACAAACTTTGTGTATGACAACTTAAGTATTGTTACACAAGTGTCTCTAAATTCTATACACCTAAGTATTCTTGTAAATGTCTTTTAGGCAAAACTCACTCTCAAGTATACTAAGAATGAAATACGAAAAGAATATTATATACACAAAAGACTTGATTTTTGAATGATATTATATTCACTTATGGTAGCTTCTTATCTTCTACATAGATGTATGTCTTGTTAAATGGTTTTGTGCTAAGTAATTTATGTTGGACACATCTAAAGATAAAGAGATTTCTAAAATGGTTTATAATGAGTAGAAAACTTCTCATGTCTCTAGTAAAGAAGTATGATATGATTTTTATTAAGAATAAATCTATGTCTTTGGTCAATTTATTGTTTTTTGTACTTTGTATAAATCTAACTGTCCAGTTATAAATTGATTAGCATAGTCTTTATTTTGTAGACTGGGAGTTCCAGTATTGCTTGCTTCCATCCAAACCATATGCTCTAATGAATCATCTTACAAGTGATTGCTTATACTAAAACACTTAATAAATTTATTAAATAATAATATAAAATTTATCTATCAAAATACATCAAGACTTTCAATTTTGATGAATTTGTCTTAATTTTAACAATTTTCTTTTTCAGGCCATTGGTTAGCTAGCATTTAGTATTTAATCTTGAGTTATCAATGCTTCCTTTCTAGGCATTGAGCTTCCTATTTTTCTAGGCCTTAAGTCGTCTAGTTTTTGTCTTTTGGCTGCCAACATCACTTTTGCAGGCCTTGAATTTCGTAGCTTCCCTTGTTTGGCTTAACATTATTCGTCTAGGCCTTGAGTTGCCTGGTTTTTGTCATTTGGACTTTAGAAAAGGGGATCAAGACAATCTTTCTAAAAAAATTTTTAGTTAGTATCTTGTTTTGTTTTATAAGCAAAAGGTTGCTATTTAAATAATATTTTCATTGCATTTATGACATGCATTATAATCTTTTTTATTGTTATTTTAAGCTTGTTTATATCTATGTTTGTCAAGTGAATAATTTGATATAATAAAATTGTTGTTGTTTAACTTGCTTGCATTTTTTTCATTCCCTCCTCCCTTTTAGTTAATGGAGAAATACTTAAATTTTGAAAAAAAAATAGAATAATCTAAAGAAAATAATTAAAATGAGTGTGTGAAAAATATTTGATAAATATTGAAAAATTATTTAAAAAAAAAAATTGTGATACTTTAGTAATCAAGTTCTCCTTTAATATTAAACAATTATTAGAGAAATATTTAGTGGATAAATCAAATACACCTTTAACATTAATGACTTAGTTATTAGAGAAATACTTATTTTATTTCAAAATTTAAGTACTCTTAAGACTAAGAAAGAAAGTGCAAATCATCAAGAATGAGAGATGATCCTTACATGGTAGCAAGTAAGTGTCAATTATGTGAGAGATAGAAATAAATTGAAAATAGTTCATTTGCTTTTCCATGATAATATTTGTCTATTGAGCTAATATACTTGCACATTTGTATATATTTATATACCTATCTCACCAATTCAAATATTCTTGCACAAAACCTCTCCAAGCTTAAGTAAATTTTGAGTATTCTTTCATAAATTGTTTTTTGATCTAACATAATTCTCTAAGTTTCTTCACTTAGCCTAATTAGGCTAACCATTATATATTCATATATATATATATATATATATATATATATATATATATATACATACATATATATGTATATATATATATATATACATACATATATATATATATACATACATATATATATATGTGTGTGTGTGTATATGTATATGCACAAAAAGAATAACTTTTGATGAATGTATGATATTGTTTTGTGTTATGTTTTTCTATGTTTTTTGCATAAAAGCATGTCACAACCCTTTTTTATAAAGGATCAATGACATCCTGCATTATTGTTCCTAATAATACATGCATAGAACAGGAAATATAATTTTTCAAAAATTGAACTTCAACATCCCAATCAACAAAATAACAAAGACCCAAGGACATTTTTATATAATCTAAAAATTATATAAGTGTATACATTTACAATAATTGCTTTACATGGAAGTCAAAATACAAAGTTTTGAATAATAATTACATTACTTGGAGACTGTAGCTAAATAGTCTAGACCTATCACTAAAACCTAGTATGGTAAAATAATTAAAGCTACAAATTTTCATCAAAGTATGGTGACTTTGACATTCCTTAGCCATACCTTCCAGTTTGAGAAGTAGCTATAACATCTATCACATCTGCTCATGTACCACAGTACGATTATTACAAAATGCACACACACTAACATAAACAGAGTGCATGGGTGAGCTTACGAAACAACAACCATGGTTATAAAAGTAGAATATGAATATGATTATTTATACAATTTTTTAGTTCAATAAATTTTTCAGCATATGATACAACAAAGCAGCTCATCTAATGCATGATGCAACAGCTCAGTTCCAACTGGTTTCATAGGCCTAATAATCCAGAAGGAACCTACAATTCTCTAGTCTAGAAGCGATCTATCCCAGTACTTGGATCCAGATATATAGCATAGTATAGCTTAGCATGTTATCTAATTGATACATGCCTACCCTACTTAAATATGCAACTAGGCTCTAGAATGATGAATATCAGTATGATAATACAGCTCATCCAGATTTATGCATTTAATACTCAAAAATGTCTAGCAACATACATACATGTACAGCAACAACTCAGCACTTATAGCTTTTGTTATAGCATCATATCAACATTTATCCATTCATTTCAGCACACAAGATTCACCATCTTTATTAAATATTCAGCCTACATATCTAGTAAATATTCTACCTTAGGGTTTGTTCCTACATCAACTTGATTTTAGCTTAAACGAAATTATACATATAAATATCTCAACATCTAGTGAATGAAAAGGCTGACTCAAGTAAGCCCCTTTTACCTGGAACGAGATTTCCTAGATTGAAACTTTTGTGAGTTCCAAAGAGAGAATAAAGCTCAAGGTCCTTAGATCTCCCTATTATCACGAAATAGAGACTCTTGAGAAGAGAAATCAAGAAAGGAGGGATGGAATAAGGAACCAAGCCTTAGAAACTCACATAGATATGCACTAAATAAAGGTTCTTGTAATGCCCCAAATTTTGTAATAATGATTATTATCATTAATACATATATATATATATATATATATATATATATATGTGTGTGTGTGTGTGTGTGTGAGTGTGTGGATTGTCTAATGGGATGTGTTGATTTACATGAGAATGATGTGTGTATGTGTGTAATGAATATGCGAATATGATTGCGAAGTCTGTATAATGTGGATTGTGACTAGGCTAGAATAGATTGAATATGTATATCTGTGTGTGTACAAGCTTAGTGTGGATGCTGCTACAGGACATTCTCGTTGTAGCAAGAAGGCCCTAGGCGAAGAGTATGAAATTGTGCCGTTCTCGCTGTAGCGAGAAGGCACTGGGAGAGAGGGGTAAAATTGTTGTTTTCTCTCTGTAGTGAGAGTTCATTTGCTATAGCGAGAGAGCGACAGTGGAGGGTGCATTTCTGGGCGCAATCTCGCTGTATCGAGAG